GAAAGAAACCCCAAGGGAATGGTAGTTAAAAGTACCGCAAGAATAGTAAGTTGAAAATTATTTTTCTGACACTTTGTCTTTCCTGCACCTTGTCTGTATACTAATGCTCATGTGTTAATGAAGTCTAAAGAGGAAGAATTAAAAAGTTTGACTAGATGGAATTTTGCATTGCCATATTTTTTGATCATGGGCTTTTTAGGAAGAATGTGATTTTGAATAGTTGCCCTGTACACAACAGAGCTTTCCTGGGGACAGTTCCTTCTAGTGCAATGAATTCTGGAAACACAAATTTCTAGAAACTGTAGTGAATGATTTGTTAGCAGTAAATTGTGTGAAAAAGTGAAGAAACAAAACTGACGCTGTACTATAAAGACAGTTGTGCTAAACTACTTTTTAAGGGAGTAAGCTTTTAGCTTTGTGCTGTAGCTACACTCTTAATACAGTAAGGAATCTCCTTAGAATTTTTTTAGAAGCTTCCATTCACACTCCATCTCCTGGATGAGGAGGGTAGGTACTCTGCTTTTTTGCAAATCATATTTTTCAGGCTACTTTGCACTGTGCCTTTCCATCTTGCTCACTTCATTGTGTGTGCCTCCTTCCCAAACCCATTGGGTATGTTTTACTTAAGTCTCTGCTTATATTTGCAGGATGTAGACTGTACAGTTTTCAAATTGATGAGAGGAGAATGACAGCTAGAAAATAAGGCACATACCAGAAAAACTCTTCCCTTTTCCACTTTCCCCATGGCTGATTTTCAGTGTCCAGCTGTACTTGCTGCTCTTGTATCATTATTCTAACATTCACTTGCTGTGTCTTCTAGAAATCCATGTAATGGATTCAAAGCTTGTGGGGTCTATATGGCATACAATGTGCTCAATGTTCAACTTTCTATTTTAATTGAAATAAAACACTCAACAAACCTCTCCCATCCCATTGCTTCCCTCCCCCCTCTCTTCCTATATACTAGGATTTAGCATTTTGAAACTAAACTACACAAACTTTTTTTCCTCTGCCAAAAGTAGCCTAGTATGCAATAATTGTGACCTTTTATTTTCTTCTGAACATTTTAAATGCTGCTTATTACCTCTGCCTGCCTGGAACTAGCTTAACATTTCTGTGACATTCTGGAGGTAGAGAGAAGGATCAGGGGTTTACTTACTGACACCTGTAAGTGGAATAACAAGTGACTTGTATTTGTTCTGTTCATATGGCTCTGCATGAAGGATACATGTGAGAGTGTGTGTGTGTATGTATGTATATATGTACAGATACATACATACACATGCGCACATGCTTAGGCACAAGTGAGCTGTCATATTGCATGAAGGTGTCTTTCTCTTTTTCTCTCTCTTTTAAAGGTTTTGACTTTTAAAGAAATCAACTGGCAGATGATCAGAATAGAAGCAGATGCAATCCAGAGTTCTAAGCATGAAATCATGAGTGCTCCAGTTCGACTGATTACTAACCAATCAAAAATCAGGGTCACGCTTAAAAGAAGGGTAAACTTGAAAAGTTTGAAATCTTTCATAATTTTATGAATTCATTTTTAACTTGTGCTCTTAATGCATGCATGCACATAGTAAAGGTTTTAAATTTAGGCCATATAGAATGTAGAATTCCCTGAACCAAATTTTTAGTAACATATAATTGGTAAGACTGTAGAGTTTACAAGAAATATTGCAGGCAGAATTTGAAGATGAAGACCTTGCACAGGTCCTACTAATGAAATCGTTTGATCTGCAGAGCCCTGTTTATGATGATGCATGTTGTCTTACCTCTCTAGATTCAGGCAAAATTTACATTACTTACATTTAGAGAAATGCCTCAGCTTAATATCCAATGCATGCCAAACAAATAAAAAGTGAGGCATAAATATACTATATCTTAGGTAGTTTTTAGTTAATGAGAGGAATACATTTAAAGTAAAAAAATATGTTTGTTATTTATATGGAAGAACTTTGCTTTTTGGGAAGTGTGCTTTTGCATTCAACTTTTTTTCTTGGTTTTTATATAAGAAATGTAAGTATTTAATGGACACATTTGACTTGTTTAAATTTTTATTCTACAGTTAAAGGATTGTAATGTAGTGGCATCAAAACTGGTTCTGATTCTGGACGATTTGCTATGGGTTTTGACTGATTCCCAGTTGAAAGCCATGGTGCAGTATGCCAAATCTCTTAGTGAAGCCATAGAGAAATCAACAGAACAGAGAAAAAGCTTGGCTTCTGAAACAGCACAGGTATGATAACCGATTGTCTCACAATATCGTTATCAGGTGTTTTAAAATGTCACACAGTGTGGTTAGTTGTGTTTGTTTATTTTAGAGAATGTTCAGTTACTCATTTTCATTTGGCTGTATATCTTAAATTACATTGGGAATGAATCACAATTGTATAAAATAGACTCTATTTTACAAGATTTTGTGTATTGATGTTAATTGCAGGAAAGAAAAAAGTTGTATTTCTTTTTCCATATACAGAGTATTTAGACTTCTGTATTTACTCAACAGTTGATTAACTGTTTAGTAAATTTCCTCTCCAAATATTTTCTGGTTATGAATTAAAATAATTAAGACACACTAAGGTAACCTTAATGTGTGGATAGATGTGCTTACTATAATGATTTAAAGTGCTTGTCTGGTTTGTTTTCATGGTACTGGAAGATTAACTTTTAGTAAGAGCTTTCGTTCATGCAGCTCTCTTGTTGGAATATATAGTAAAAAATAATTCTACTTCTAACGTATTTCTGCTGGCATAGATGTGATATTGATGGTGCATGTAAGATAGTCTTACGTAAATCTTGGTCATCTTTCAGCACATGCAGCAGACTAGATCAACTGGGCTTTGTGAGTGTTGGGGGACAGGGACCTCTTCCTGTCTGTGAAGCAGCAGCACAAATACACTGATAAAAGATAGTCCTATAAAAATAAAACAATTTATTACTAAGACTAATTCAGTAAAATAATTTTTAAAGAATCCCTTACAATAAAGCTAGTGTACTGTAATGGAGAGTTCAGTTCTTGTGGTGGTCCTGATGACTTACGGTGTGATTTGGTGGTTTAGCTACAGCAATCTAATGGTTAGCTGTTCCTGAGCAGGGAGGTCCTGATTCTTCAATTCCCTGTACTTGCATCTCACTAATTCCCTGGTACTGGCACCGGCTCATGTTTGACCCTGTTGTGATGTAGTTTGGGGAACTACAGAAATGAGCCCAACAAAAAATTGATAGTTTTCTGCTGGTTTAATTGCCTGAGCAGCTTGCAACAAAAGTTAGAAGAATACCAGTGCTGCAAGTGACAAGGATGTGAAGAAGTGTGGAGGAAGGGGAGAATGGGGAAGGCACTGGCATTGCCTTTTTGTGACCACTAGCCATTAGCTCAACTTAGCTTTATTCTAAAACACCACACTAAAATCTCAGTAATGATCCAAGGGAATTCATGTGGTGCAGATTTTTCCTTATTTCAAAGGCCTGTTTTGAGTAAGTAAAAGGATACTTATGCTTGAAAGGAAGGTAAACTTCATAAATCAGTATGACTAAATATTTTTTTTTCAGAGCTCTGCCCCTGCACCCAGCTCTCAGCAGGTGAAAGCACACCAGACAACGACAGCACCTGATCAAAACGACGCCATAGTAAAATTGTTTAATGATTTTGATGTTAAGGAAACTTCTCATCACTTAGTAATTTCCCATTTGGACCTACATATATGTGATGATATCCATTCTAAAGAAAAAGGTAACTTTTTTAAAAAAAAAAGTAACATGCCTGTGAACCATAATCATCTTTAGAAGACATTTTGAGGAATACAGTAATGTTAATCAAGAGTCTGTCTTTATTTTAGGGGAATATTCAGAATTGTCTTCAGTGTCCGTAAACACATTTAAAATTAACTAGATGCCTCTATCAGGACAACATTTCATTATTAAATGTAATTATTTTAGAATAAATGCAACAAGAACTGCTAAGAGTGCTAGTAGCTTCAGTGCTTTTTCTGTCTTCTGGAAACTGATTCTGTCCTGTCTGATTGTTACTGCTTTTTTTTTTCTTTTATATTATAAGTTAACTGGGTTATGAAGAATGCAGTGGCAACATTACTGTGGCTTGAAAGGGTCCCTATAAAATCTGCTTCTGTAAAACCCTTATAAAATACAGACTAATAAAAGAGCAGTCCTCTTTGTGTCACTAATTTAGAAAATTTGGTATGCTCTGCAGTACATAGAAAGAACAGAGCAGGTGTTCGTGGCCTTACAATTTTGTGTGTAATACTTGTACTTTGGGTTTTGTTTTTTTTTTTAAATGAAAGGATATTGCCTATAGCCATATTTAGAATCAGAAAAAAAGAAGACGAATGACACTTCTTTCATGCCTTTTAAAAGTGATCAGAAGAGAATGACGTATCAGTGTATATCCAAGGAGCTGGCTAGTGACTGAAAAATCTAGAGAGGCATACAAGGTGTGCTGAAGAAAAGAGTATGAAAAACTTAGGCTTTAGCAAATGATTTCATTAATTAGGGAAGACACTTGCAGAGCAGCAGAGCGTAAGGTTCACTGGCTAGAGATGTATTTCCTTGCATGCAGTGTATCTACTGCAGTTGGGATTTTTATCATTCTTAGTGAGATCTCTTTATTGGTCCTTTATTTTTGGCCATGAAATTTAAATTTAGCAGTGAAAAAATCAGAACAGAGGACTCTCAGAAGACCTTTTCACTGCAATAATTGTCAAATAAAATAAAAAAAATTATATTTACAATATTCTCGAAAGTAGATATTGACTTGGAATGACTGATCATAATCATATATTCAGTGTGAAAAGTTTTGTTTCAGAAAAAGTGTAGTAATATGTGTTCAAAGAGTTGTTTTTACTTTTTAATAGCATTGAAAACAATATGCATTTGTTAGCAGTGACCAACTACAGAACATGGAGCTCTACAAGCTGATCTTTAGAAACCAGTGAAGACTACCTGAATGAAAATTTTGGGGGAAGATAATGAGGTTGTAAGGAGAGCCAGAAAAGGGGAGGAAGAAGTAGCTGTTAGGTTCTTAAAAGAATGCAGTAACATGAGAACTAGCATGCTAAACACAATGTCTGCAGAGCTGAGCATTGTTTTATTTTACAGACTCAAATAGACGTGTTACAGGAGGGGCCATGCAGCTTTCCTTCAGCTATTTAACAGTGGACTATTATCCATTTCACAAAGCAGGTATGAAAGAGAGCATTTTGTGAATTATGTAACTATCTTGCTTGAATACTAAATTTGTGCGTGTATATGTATATGGCTTGCATAATAATGTTCTAAGCATTTGAAATACACACCTTTTTATTTCTTTCTATATGCAAAAACAAACAACAAAAGCAACAACCTGGGAACCAATTAAATTTCTGTGGATGAGCTATTTTAGGCCACTTTTCCTTTTCACTGTTCTGCTTGGTCAACAAAATAGTGTTTACACATTTCTGACATGAAGAGAATTGTGTGTTGACAGAGTAAGGCAGTATGGCAGATTGACTCTTGCAAATATCCAATTAGTGAATTCTCAATCTGCTACATTTCTTTTTCTGTATAGAAGTCTATCATTTTATGTCCATTTCCAAGCAATGTTTTGTTTTTATTTCATTTTGCTAAACAAGAATCCCAGTGCGTAGAGGTTCAATTGTATAGCCTTTTGTTAAGGAATTACTATTAAACAGATGTTAGCAATTTCCAAAGAAACATTTCTTACAAATCATTTCTGGCAAATATGTTTTTCAGAAATCTAAAACATTTAGAAGAGGCAAAACAAGTTTGCTGTTCAATTTGAGATCAAAGGCAGTCCAGTACAGTGGAGGGGCTTTTAGTTGATGGGGGGGTTGGTTGTGCTTTGTTTTGCTTTTTACTAACACAGACCAGTCATGTTGGAGTGATTATCCACATACATTAAAGACATGAATTAGCTGTAGCTTGCCTAATGTCCTTATTGTCACTCATGGTTGCAGATGGAATCCTGTAATGTCAATCTATTTCATTTGTAAGTACAAGTATAGTTTTTGCACCTTAAAAAAATGTAACTTAGCATAGGTCAAATAAATATACAGAGCCACAAAAAATCATAGAATCATAGAATCGTCTAGGTTGGAAAAGA